ACCACTTGTCATTTTGTATTCGTTGGACAATGTACCGTAATTTCGTGCATAATATTTTGCCCATTCTTGACATATCGATTGCATCTTCTTCACACCAATGATTAAATCTTCTCTCACATTTGTTTCCATTTTTTTGTACCTTTCCTATACATGTATGTGTGTGTGTGTACTTATTGTCGTGGATTGGAATTGGAACAATGGATGGATAAAGCGGATAAAACGGCATGAAATGTTGAGAAGAAAGGATGATGTGATGATGAATAACTAACCAGGATTAGAGATGTGAATCGACGGCAGTTAAAGGTGATAGGATTAAGCGAAATGGCAAGATGAGTGAATGATGATGACCTTGATCAAAAGGTCATCAACCACAATTGTTGAGGGAGAGAAAGAAGGAAAATAAGTATTAGGTGTGATGACCCTTAGATCGGGAAATTTTGCTCATTCTGCTAATATATGAGAAGGAAACAATTCATAATTAGCACAGCAAACCATCGATTAGTAATAATTCCGCAAAATTGTTGTTAACCGAATTAACCAAAATGTTTCCTCCCCCTTTTTCGTGGTGAGAAAGGATTGTTGGGAGTTAATCATTACCAGTATTGTATTTTATGTTATAAAGTACGCATAGCGTTTATCAGTAACTTTCTTTTTTTAATCGATATTTATCCCGTACCGGTTTTCGGTGACATTGAAGAATTGAAGAATCATTAATGTTTTAATTTTGATAAGAAACAATGAAATTGAGTGGTGTAAACTGACGCTTTCAAGATGAATTCTTTTGTCTGGCTTAAGTCAAATTCGAAATCTTCGGCCGATAAAGCTAAGCTTCAACCCGAAATTTTTGTCGGCATAATCAAGAGCTGTCACTTTTTTCTTTTTCATTTTCCACAAACATATGTCTACCTTCTCTCTCCTTCCAGTTCTCTCTCCCACCCGCTTTGAAGATGAAATTGCTAGGCGAGGAGGAGAAAAGATTTATTGTTGTCTCTGCGGATACATGTTACTCACTATTGTGTCGTGACGGTGGTTTTGTGGCCGGTGACCGGTCACTCCGATCTTCTGTCTTTACATCTTCTGTCTTTTAATTAATCATCTTCTGTTGAAGAATTCATCTCACCAAGCATCCAAACAACCAAATTTCAGGTTCAGAAGTAAAATACATTTTGGGAGTGCGAAATGAAGAAGACGGTTGCATGGTTGTAAAAAGAATCAAATCACAATAAACTGGAAAAAAGAGGAAGCGAGAAGATCAGTTGGGAGCTCCTAATAGTAAGTAAATAAAATAATAATTGTTAGCTTTATATGCGAGGCTTAAGAGCACACTGTCTGCTAGGTCCCATCCTTATCCTATGGCCTAATTTAACGAAATCTCATTTCCGAGATTTCAGAAAGTGCTCTTTCCTAATTATGGTAATTGTGAAATGGGCCAGATATCACAGTCTGGCTGCAATGCATTTCCAAGATAACTTCTAACGGACAGAGGTGGAATGAAATCTTTGCGTACTGCTTCTTTTCAGAAAACTATAAAGTTGAACGTTGCAACTAAAATTATTATTATCGCACATCAATCATACTGCTTATCACACCCATCTCTCCTCCTCACAACCAAATATATTCATTCATTCATTTCTGTGCTGTTCTTCACACTTCCTTCTCATTTTCTTCAATTTTTGTTTGTTTACTTGTTTGCTCGCGCTATCATTAGTGGATGTGATTAGATTACGGTACAGTTCTGTCCCTCATCCTATCCCCATAACCTTGGTCTCATCACCATTTTCCAAACTGATCAGTAACAATAACAGCCTCCTTTCAACCCGTGCAACCATTTTACCCATGTCTGTAAACAATTATCGACAGATCATAAATGAAGATGTGACAAGAGTTGACAGTTGTCATTTGTAAATTATTTTAATTGGCTCTCTCATATTCAAAATCAATCTATATGGTGTTTAAAAATTTATCACACTTGAATAATCTCGCCCTCTTCCTCTTTTTTCGATATTGCAAGGAAATGAGGAAATCTTTTTTGGCTGGAAATAAGCTGACCCCTAAGGACATACGAAATTGCATGACATTCTATCCAGTTTTGGAAGTTATAAATGGAAAAAAATTTCTTTGCTTTCATTTCAATACCTCTTTATTGACTTAAATTTGCAAGCATTTTTTTATTAATTTAATGAATAAACGATTTATTTGTCTAAAAACTACTCCGTAATATTTCTAATTCTTTTCCCTTTTTTGGAATGTAAATTAGTTTGTTATTTTTATGTCGGTTGCACGAAAATTTTCTTTATCGAAAGCAAAACTTTGTAAATTTTGAATTTTTGGGAAGACACTGAAATGAAACAGAACAACTGCTGCACTATATGTGAACTGTAATATAAATTTCGTTATCAATTTCGGAAGAAAAAAATGAGTAACCGGTTGTTATTGATAGGAGTAGTTAGTACTTTTTCATTCTTTTCTAACACATCGAAATTACTTTGTGATATGTCTTCATATCTCTCTCTCCTTCCCTCTCAATAGTAATACACTTCTACATTTTTAATCAAATTCTTCTAATAGTAATAACAAATTTTGCAATCGAAATTAATTTATGTCTCAATGCAAAATGCAAATTGAAATTTTATGACAATAGTTCGCATCTGAAATTGTTCATCTCACAAAAGAAGAATACTTCAGAATGAACTCGAGTTGAAAAACAAATCTCGCAGTAATAAACTGTGAGATGAAATGCGGCCTGTGTGCAGCACGCCAAATACGATATATGAATGAATTTTGATATTGCGATAATCCTTGAAATGCTAGCAATCAAAATTTTCTGTCTAATACATCTGTGATTGAACTGTCGTTAATGAAGACCTTTGATTTTTACCGTCCTAACCGGTTTACCAAAAACTCCGAGAATTTGTTCCGCAATAACGTGTCGCTGTTGTGCTATGGGTTCGTATGGTAGAATTTAATATGGTTGTGGATTGAAATTTTAAAAGTAAAAAAACGCTGGAAATTAATTCGTTCATTTCCCTTAATGAATTTTAAAAAATCTAAAAAACATTATGTAGTTAGTGGTAGTTTTTCACACTAATTTTTCGATGTTTTGATTATCATCTTGTACATTTTGTGATTGTTTTTCTGAAAGGAAAGATTGATTTGTCAATTAGTTAGTCATTTGCTTTATTTTAAACTTTATTTATTTATTTGTCCTTACAATGTTATTTCAGTCGAATGAACAGATTTGCTGTGAACATTCCTTTGACAGTTCTGGATATTTTATAGTACCCACTTGTTGCTCGTTAAGAAGATAAAAAGATCGGTGATTAAAGCAAATAGTTGCTTCTTTGATCATTTAACACCATATCTTGCACGTGTTAAAAATATCAGCGATGGAAGTTGACTGCTAATGTTGAAGCACCTAGCGTAGATGCAGCCAATCTATGGTCCCATTAGAGACTTATTTTATTCAATTCATCTATTATAGATGACTTTTCTCGATCTGTTCCAAACTTCTTGAACTTATCATTTCTCCGAATGTTCGAGTCGATGTCTTTACCAAATTGTCTACACTCTGTTTTGCAAGAAAATCCCTTCGCACGTCATTAGTTTTTCTTTTTCACAATACTTGGAACAGCTGATAGAAAAGAATGTAAGAATAAGAACGAGTTCATTTATAAACTAGTGGATTTTAAGAATTTCTAAACAAACAATCCAACAATATGCTCTTTCTAAATTTGATGTTGGAGGATTATTTCACTTTGCACGTTGTGAATCATTCGGAGAGAGGAGAAGCAACCATAAATTCTGAGAAAGGAGAACCGATGGCAATAATGATATCGACAGTTGGATAAGTGAGTATTCGTCTAGTAAAGAATGATTATCGTTTTTCACTGCATTGTAACTGTCCTTCAAATTAATTACATATTTCCTTCACCAACATAATCATCATCCTTACTACCAAAAATATCGATGTGTTTCCTTCTGCGCCTTCTGAACAAGCAAATTTGGCAAATTTAATTTTCTTTTTAATTAATGACACTTCGATAAATAACACTTTCCTTTTTCTTTTCACTTGATCACTCCATATTTCACTTTCTTAGTAGCTATCATCGTCGCTTAAACTATCGGTAGCACATCATCGCTTGAACTAAAATGATGTTAACAGGCTATTTAAAAGAAGGAATTAATATAATGTACATAACGCGTAAGTTAATTTTTTCTTTGAAATTGAAGGAATAAATCAAAATTTTCGGACTCGGATAATGTAATAAAACTTTAGAATGTTGCTCTGGCTTAGTCGGATGAAGCGCAGAAGCTTAATTACATTTGCATATCGATACTAATTAGTGGCTGTATCTGTGAGCCGTGAATTGGTAATTTTTTGAATTTTCTCTTGCATCTCCTCCTACTTCAACCTGCCACATTGCCATTAATTTCAATTGACCCTCTCTCCCTGTCCTCTAATCCCTGAACTACATAGTGGTATGTGTGCTGCAAATGACGTCTGTCCACGATTCCATTCACTCTTTCGTTAGCCTAACCCACAGCGGTTAGTTATACATTCTTTGAGTATATCCTTCTCCTCCTCCGCCATCTTTCAAAACTGTCAATTGCTTGTGCCAGTTTTAAACTTCGAATTTGCATCATGTACAGCATGTATTCATAGCTATATGAATATATCTTGTTTTATCCATCGTCATTCGGAGACACCGCGTCGTGATGAAGGAGAAAATTCACAGCCATGGTATGATCTGCTGAAGCTGTCATCTGTCCCCTCATCTCACTGTCTTCACCGAAAGTTGCGGAGAGAAAGGGAAGGGCTGTCTGGAAGAGACCACCATCGCAGCATTCCCCTCCTCCCACTCATCCCATCATCCAAACATCGAGCAAATTCCTTTTTTGATTGACATCTTCTGTTTTCTGTTTCGAAATTTGCCCTAATTTCTGATGGCTGCAATGGAGGGACGACAACGATCATGTTGATAACCATGACCGACTTAGCCTAAGTTAGGTGGAAGAATCTCAAACGTGAAAGGAAAAAGGGCCATTATCCACCACAGTTGAGACGAGACAGTTCAACAGTTCAACGGCATATTTGTTGTGCCGCACTTTTTTCCTCAGCTATTGGTATGTAACTCTTACTTTTCTCACTTATGTAAAATTTATCGATCGTTCAGACATAATCGTCTCACGAACAACTGCTAGGGAAATATGCACTCCCGAAATAGATTTAAAAATTTTAAGTTTTCGTAAATTTGATGAAGTACGAAACGGATGAAGAACGAGAAAATACGAGATTAGCAATGGCTGGAAATGATTACAGAAATTAGAGAGTCGACAAGCTTTTCGTTATACTCACATTTATGGTGGCATAAGGGAAGATGGAATTTAATCGATGATTGGTTGTCGTTAGAAGTGGGAAATTTTCTCCGTCGTTGATTATTCCGTCTCATCCATCCGCTCGTTTGCTGATCGTCGAAGCCGAAAATATTGTCAATGACAATTAACAATGAGATGACATGACTTCCATTCCTTCCTCCAAAATCTCTTCTCTCCTCTCTTCTCTTCAACTGTGAGACTTTGTTTACAAAAGATGTCTATCTCTTCAATATTCCAAATCGTATTCTTAGTGTCACATTAATCAATGTAATTATGCAACAACAGATAATTAGTGTACCACTTATCCTGCAATACAAAGAGAACTGTCGTTGAACAGTCTCCTGGAACGATTAGTTGCAGAACGAAAATAATCCAATATTTTCGTCATTCCGCTCTTCCCTTCCACGTGGCACAACTGTTTAGCACTGTTGGGTCCAGTGGTCAGTTGAGTCGCTGCTTCTTTGCTTACGCGAAACGAATAAAGAAGTAAATTGATGGGATCGTCATCCTTTCATTAATTTATGATCTTTGATGCTGTCACTGCTAACAAGGAGTAGGAGAGGACAGAGCCGCCTGAGGATCTCCTCTATACATCACCTTCACTCCTTTCGCAACACTAATATCTCCTTCTTGTCTGACCTCGGGATTTATACCATATTGGATAATTAATGCAAACAACATCTGTCCATATCAATCTGAAATAGTAATTGTACCCAATACCTTAGCTGAGTCCTTTTATTATAATTAGAAAATGAGACATGTTCATCTCATATTGATTTTAAAATTCTGGAACTTTTTCAGCAAACTTCTTATTTGGTAGTCTTAAATCTGACAAGTACAACAGTATCATGGTTTTCTTTCCACAGATTCTAAAACGATTCCATCTTCACAATTTTGGATTTCGTTTCTTTTCTTGAATTGTAATTTGACATAACTTTTATGAAATCCTTGGGACTTTAAAATTGATGATTACACTAAATTCATACTTTCTGAGGTAAATTTTGAATTTCATTCTTACCGTGACATTACCTTCGTTGTCGCTTGTGATTTTTTTAAAAAGCTAAGGCAAGACAGAGACCTTTATTTTTTTTAAAATATTTTCTCCTCCTCTTCCTCTCTCTCTGCCTCTCACCTCCTCACTCTTCCCATTCTCAATCAGTTTATTTTTCTACCTCGCCAAGGGTGGTAATTCCAATAAATAATTGGCTTTTGATTCAAATTTTTGAAAATTTTTGTCCTTTATTTACGCTGCGATTGAAGTGGAGTCTTTTTTAATCTTTGTACCCAATTATCAAACCCTTCAACTATATAAATACGAATTATCTATAATTAGAAAAATCAAGCTGGCGATGCTTTATCGGCAGTATTTCATTACTTTCTTCCATATTTCACTAAAATTGATCTTTGGTCATTTGCATATTAGTAACAATAACACTGTTTGTCTACTTCATTAATTCCACATCATTAATTAATACATCCTCTTTCCTGAGAAAACGATTCATTAAATCGATTTTTTAATTAATTCCATCCTATTTCCACCCTATTTCCGTTTCTCTAATAAAAATAATGCATCTCTCTGTTTGTTGCTTGTAAGACGAAATCGTCCAACATCTGCTACAGATATCACCGATACCTCTAACTGAAATATTGTCACTTCTTGATAAATGTTAGTCGTACTTGTCATGCAAACTACGGGAAACATCCTTTTTACTCCTTTATTATTCTGTAGACTCTCTATCACTGATAATTTCCATCGATCGTTTAATAGTTTTCTTTTGTGTACCGTTATTGTGGTACGGGAAGAAGAAGTGAATTAGTAATGGCAGAAGTCTGTCGGAAACAAAAGAGGACCACTTTCGACAAGCGTTCATTACTCGGCTGATTGAGTTATCTTAATGGTCATTATCATAGTGATTGCATTGATATCATAGCAGTACAACCCAATACATAAAGTATTTCAGGTCGGAGGATTTATCATTGCTGATTTCAGGCAATTGACTCAAATAATTTGTCAAACTTGCTGATTTTTACGTTGTTCTAATTATCAAACTCATTATTTTGTCTTTATTAGAAAATAAATATAAGTTTATTTTCTTTCAGTAAATAGCTCAATATTGACACATTTTGTTCGAAAAAAAGTTTTTAGCGATGAATGATTGAACTTTGACTATTAAACATTCTGGGATAAATTTGCTTGGTTTGCACGATTTTCCGCTCTTTTCTTTGTAAATTATCCAAGTGTTTCACCAATGATCTTTCAGCATTAAACAAAAAATCAAAAAAAAAACTTTCCGATACGTTATGACGTGTACTTAAGAAGTTTTCGTTTTAGAATGAAGGGATTACGAGATTGTGATGAGGAAGAAGTCAAATTTTGAGATTAATCTCAAAACTTCTTATCGATTTGAAAATGTCGAATTCCTTTTCGAATTACGCATAATTATTAATGAAAACTATAAAAATCATCGCGATAAAACGACTTAATTTTTTACAATTTTGAAAATTATTAAAAAAGTATGTATTTGAGATAAAAATTGGACAGTTATGACGAATACGTTTCACTGTAAATGGATATCTTTCTTGCAAGTTTTTTTTTGTTTGGAAAATTAAAGGATGTTAGAAAGCAAGTTACCGTAGTGATATGGGCTTTTAAAAAATAGAATTTAACGAAATAAACAAGCTAACATAAACTGATTTTGAGATCGATGAAGTACGGCCGAAAGCAAAACTTTAGAAATGAATTTTTTTTGCAGGGCACAAGGAGGCACGCAACCATTTTCGATTATTCTTCAAATTATTTGCTGCTGTTATTACATATTGGTAGCAGTGATGATGGGTTATTACTTCTGCCAATATTTAATATCGCAATATATCATCATCGGAATATAAGAGTTCTTTACTTAGCGGTCCCTTAACCCATTTATTAGCCATTAGGGTCATCATGACCATTGGATTTACATATCACTAATAGTGGATCATCGCAGTCGCCGATTATCATTCGTTATCAATACACTTACTACTGTTACTGCAACTGTAGTTACTATTATCATATTATCACCATTAGCTGACAATTATAGATATCACTATCATTGGAATTAGCAGTAATAACATTTCAGCAACTTCTCATTGATGCTGTAGAAGTCCATTTGCGAAGTGTAATATTAACGATTGCAATCGTTTCTGCTAGTTATATCAGTATGGAGAAGTCATTAATAATTGTCTTCTTTTCATTGATAATCTTTTTTAGGAGACGGGAAATTTCTTATCATTTTTTCGCTTTTCTTCTCCTTCATAGCTTTCTAAAGTTCAGTGATGGTTAAGATGGGATATTTTTTTCTGCAGCCTTGCTGTACGACTGATTAAGATTTAAGGATTGTATTATGGTGAGAGAGAAGAATGAAAGCATTGGGAATCGTTGGTTATGGAAACGGATGGTTGTTGGATGATATGAGGAATGTCTCCCGCGGCAGATGTCACCTTTGATTAACGCTATGAGACGTGAACTGTTAGGGAAAGGAAGCAAGTTCTTCGCAGTTCACGTAACTTGCATGTTTACGTGACAGCTTCAATACACTACATAACACCTCCATTGTATGTCTGTGACGCAGTTGACAAGCGTTACTACCATAATGCACAAAGTTCCCACTGTAAATGCTTAATCTGGACTGTTCCTTTCCCGTAGGTATAGAAAGGAATAGGGAAGACATGTCACAGTACTAGTAGGTATCTCTCATCACATTTAATGATGAGAAGTATAATTGGGGTATTTTCTTTATCATTCCTACAATTTAATCCTAAATGAGTGATAGGGATCGGAAAGGTAAAAGCTAATTTGCTTAATTGTTGTCATTTGTTGCAAGTTGTATAGATGCTTAGGACCCCTAGAACACGTGACGGCAGATAGGGACGGAGTGGTCTTCGTACGTCAAGTAGCAGCATTACTTCACTTTCTTACTCGTTCCAGCTTCTTCCCCTCCTCTTACTGTTCAAAATCCGCTCCTCCCGTCACTCGGTTGTCACCATCCAGCAGACAGCGATATACCATTTGCACCTTCAGCGTCTGTCAGTCTCGATGACGTGTGTCTGTCTGTCTGTGTAGAGATGTTTATATGTGAAGTGTGTTTGCGTTGTTCGTGTCGTCGACGTCTAGTCTCATTCTCATTCTATAAATAGCTTTTCGACATGAACGCAACGCAAGTACCTCATTCATGAGAAGAGAGAGGGAAGGGAGAGAATAAGAAGGAGAGAAAGGTTTAGAGGAAATGATTCATGTGAAAATAGTTATGCGAGGAGACAAACAAGAAGGATGCTTTTGCTGTTTAGAAGGAAAGAATGACGGGAAGAAAAAGCATTTGATGTCGTCGTTACTGTTATCATCTGAGACCGGATCGAATAGAATCGGATCGGATCGGATCGGATCGGAGGGTGACAATTATGGCGTGACAAATGATGTTGATGAGAATGGGACGGTACTGAGTGGGTTTGTTTGTCGGCACTGTCCCAGTTTCGTAAGACTTCATGCGTCCACCATTAAGTGTAATTTTGAATTTTCATCAAAATTATAATTGATTCTAAAATGCAACTTATCCTTCATTTACTTTTCTTCAACTTTATCAATAGAAAGGAGGAGTTAACAGGTGAATTGATTAGATTGGATTTATGAGTGGATTTCTTGATGTCGTTCTAGGAGAATCAGCTGTTAATATTCTGATCAGATCGGGATACTTTATCATTAACCTGTTCTTCAGTTATTGCTAGCTCCTTTTCCATACATATACATATGAAGTGCTAACAGAAAAAATAGCTGGCTAATGATGATAAGAGATTTTGTTTACTAAAGATTTCCCTTTGTTCTCTCCCTCTCTGTGTTTTTGATGTATTTTTTTGGGAAAGAAGAGAAGTGGTGATGGAATATTATATTGATTCAGGATGGTATTTTATAAGAAAGGAAGCATAGCAGTAGCAGCATTCACGTTCAAGCCTTTTTCTCCAGACTAAACAAACTGCCAGACGAATCGTCGACTTACGAATGTTGCAAGTTTGCTGATTCATTCATCTCCTTACTTCTTCCTCCCACCACTTTCCGTTCTCTTACTTATTTCTCCTCTCTCTTTCTACCGATTCAAATGGAATTACTCTTTCTCCGTTCAAATTTTGCCAGTCATTTGCTAAAGTTGTAGGAAATATGCGGAGTATATAGAAAATAGGAAATATATGGAAGATCATATCATGGATAGACGGGAAACTTTTATCGCTGAACTGCTAATATTAATCTTTACTGCAATAAACTTTTAACGAGAAAGTGGTGGCTAAAGCGGAAGAGATAAGAGGTGAAGGAATTCCGCATTTCATTAATTCTCAGATGTATTCCAAAATGATCAAACAGGAAAATATCATACAAGTGGCAAAGACATAAAATAATGACAGTAATGATTTTCCTTACGCAGTTCAGTTGATCATATAGCAGACTAGAAGATCATATCATGGACAGACGGGAAACTTTTATCGCTGAACTGCTAATATTAATCTTTACTACAATAAACGTTCCAAATGTCTTTCCTCGAAGGTCACACCAAAAAGTCAATTCCGATGATATTTCCAGTCTGGCATCGCTTTTTCTCCTGTATCCTTTTTTCTTTCTCATACGAAATTCCTTTTCCGGCTTAACTTTCTGCAAATAGCACGATATGCATAGTGCAAGCAATAAGCAAAGTCTAGACTTGTATCGCTCATTTGTTTCAAACAAATTGTTATTGATGAAATGCGATAAGTGCAAAAGCAAAGGGTCAGTCTTCCTCTCCTCTCCCCCGCACTCACATTATACAACCTGCTGACTGGTGGTTTGTTTACAATTCTGCTCAAATGTACTATTTTCGTTTTTCATTATTTATATTCATACTGTGAAGGTAAGAAGAATATTCTTATTCTCATAATCATAAGATTTGACGAAGGAAGAAGTTCCGGACAGGCTCCAGCTGTCTTTTCTTTTTATTAGTTAGACCAAAGAGGGCTTAGACAAGTAAATCAGTGTGAGTGCAGTTGGATTTCAACATATTATTCAACTTCGTCTATTATTTCAAATTATTTTTGAAAGAATGGAAGGAATTTTGTTTACATGTTGGTAACCTTGCCATCTATAGCTGTTACCGGCTGTCAGTTTTATAGTATGCTACAAAATCAATGATTGATTGATAATGCAACCGTTCAGAAATAACATTTAACTTTGTACATTTGTCGCTGTGACGATGTCGCAGACAAGATATATACATAGTCTTCGATTCAGATTCAAAGTTTCGTTCCTTTTTTCGTTGATCACTGTCTTGCTTGTCTTATTATTGTTTGTTTGCAACATTTTCTGCAAAATCTTTTTCACTTCTCTTCATTTTTTGCTTTCTTTTCAATGGCTATTGGCGAAATAAGCGAATTAAATGCAGGAGAATCGTTTGGATGAATTAATTTGGATGCTTCGCGATCTCTTGAGCTAATTGCATCTGCAAACATCTGCGAAGTAGGTGCGAAAATTGGAAATGTAGGATCTTTTCATACCTTGTATAATGCTGTCATGTGGTTATTCTTCATCAGACGGTATCGACAGTGCAGTGCTATAGTTTAAATCGAAATTCATCACCAGCACCAAATGTTTTCAAATGCCGTACAAAAAAGGCCTCTCTCCTTCTTGTAAAAGAAAATAACCAGTTTTGATAACGAAGAGATGGATAGCCGGTCTCTGTAAAGAAGTTGCATGTTACAGTGTATCGGCTTACTTATCAAATCACTAAGTCAGTGATTGCAACAATTTCAGTATCCGCAGATATTTTATTTATTATCTCCTCTCGACAACAACAGTACCATTTTAAGGAAGAAATTTTTTGATTTTGTTAAAAACTTGTGGTATGAAGTATATACACGTGTGCGTGTGTGTATATGTGTATTAATATTAATGAACGTTGTGCAGGAAATGCACTGCTACGCAAATGTGATCAAAGTTGAAGAGTGTTCGAATGCAATTGCCTGCTTAGGCTTATCCGAAACGTTTGCACAGCTCCCTTTTATCTACTTATTTATGTGCCGCATTTCATTTACAGATTAGCTTTCGTTTTTGCACACCACTCACTCTTTCCCCAAATTAAAGGAAATAATGTCACCTACAGTTTGCTTTTTTACTTTATAGCAATGTTATCAAATCACTGTTTGGTTGATTAAGCATCTCATAGCTATATTTGTTGTAAGGTTGTTGATAAAGATTTTTCTTTCTAATGAAGAGGTATCGTTATTACTTTCCAAGTTTCATGCTACATATCGTTCATACAAAATGGTGACGTATCAGCTAATCATGACGTTTTTCTTCTTTCAGTTCCGAATATTTTGAGGAAAATTCCTGACATAACTGTACTTATAATTAATTCGATCAAAACGGTGTTTTTCAAAAATCGGCATTATTTATTCTTTTGCGCTCTTGCTATTGTTGCTTTTGTGTGAGAAAAGTTCTCAATCTATGAGCTTTTGAGAAATATAAGAGAAGCAATCGAAAGAAAGAAATACGGAACGAATTTCGTAAAACTGACTTTTTTTCCTCAATAGACTTGTAACAACAGCAATAACGACGGCAACGTTACTATCTGATATCAACGATACGAATCGGTGGAGTGTAAATCCTGGAATAAGAGTAATAAATTCTGCAGTCAAAGGCGTGCAGAGGCACAAGTAGCAGCAACATCAACAACGACAGAAACAACAATAGCAGCAGCAATAATATCATTATCATCATCACCGCCAGCATCAACTTTTGGCACTGCGATTCATTCTCCAATTGTGGCGAATATATTAAAATCAGTTGAATTTGGTTTGAGCAGAAGACAAATCTTCTCGTTCAACAACATAAAAAATTAGCAGTGGAAGAGAAGGAAGTAAGAATAAATCATAGTTCTTTTTGTTTGTTACCCATATATTATACTGACTAGTAGCACTATAGTTATAGTTAGAATTAGTACCAACTTGTGCCTGTCTCTACTTCCCATTCTTTCCCATTTCTTACGCAATAGAAAAAAGAACTTAGAAAATAAATAAAAGGAAATGGCAGACGAAAAATAGACAAAGCTAAACAATCTTATGGCTATGAGCGTTACTTCACCACCAATTACTGTTATTGCTACCGTAATTGCTATTATCACCGCCGCTTCATTTGTTGCCATTGTAATCGGTAAGGAATGAGAAATGAAATGCCGAGAAAAAACAAATGAGAGCAAGAAAATTGAAGAAGTGTTGAAAGTTTTGTATTAAAATGAAAGGAAAAAATCCATTGTTTCGAAACTTTTCAATAAATTACGTAGCAATGCGAGAATTTTGTAAAGGAGAAAGTTAAACATCATCTAAAATTGAAAAAATGACGGAGATCAAAAGGGGAGTAATTCTAGAACTCATCCTTGTTTACTTTCAAAAGTCATACTGTCAGTGCGCTATTCAGGTGCATAAAAAAAAAGTTTAATTCTAAAAAAATTAATTTGGCAGTACTGCTTAGAATGATAAAAGGGTAGTTTTTCTCTTTCTTTCTTTTTCCCTTCCTCTCTTCTAATTTCTTTTTTTTTTATTTAAACGAACGGCAATAATGGGAATAAGAACAAAGAAGTCTTATCAGAGAATTGAATCGGTCGTCCATCAGGAAACTTCGCTACACTATCATCGCAAACATTAACACAGATATATGCATAAACACACAATGTGGTCGTTGAGCATAACACTGTTCATTCTATTCGTGGTTTCTGGTTCGTTTTCAGCTTTTTTTTACTTCATTTTTTGCTTCTCTTTTGTTTTTCATCACGACAACGTGTAATTATATTTACGATATTTGCGTTTCCTATAACGGTGGGAAATGAAAAATATTAATTTCTAATGAAATGATACCGTTTAATCGATGATACCACAAACGATCTTGGGAGAGTTTTTAGGTATTTATATTTTCCTTTCAGAGCTTTTAGACCTATAAAAAAGAAAATGTTTTGTATATCTCCTTGCCCAATAACAGTTCATCTTCTTTTTCAAGGATCTTATTCGTCAGGTGTTGCGATACATGAATTGCTCGAACAGTATCTTGGTGTTGCATGTCAGCGGGAAAGGTACCTTGTTCATTTTCTCTTCTGAAAATGTTGTAAAATGTTTAAATAATAAGGTGGCATTTATATGTTTTTTGGTAAACTTTTCTTGTTGAATTTACAATACTAACTAGGTAGGGAATTGAATAAATTTTGTAGGATCAATGTACAACTAACATTCAACCGGAAAAGGCATCCAGAAATGACGAAGTCAATTCGTGAAATGATTTGGCGTGGTAGGATGTGTGTTGGAGATAATAAATCTGGGTCGTGTTGTTCACAACTTAATATGATACAAGATGTGCGCTATCATTTTTGTTCTATTTTTTAATAAAAATGCGAACTAAAAATAGCGTAAGAGTTACAAGAATCTGATGAATTCTCCTATTCTTTGGTAAGCACTGCGGTAGTTTTAAGCAGAATGTATTAAATTCATTCACCTGTTTAGTTCAGTTAATTGATTCTAACTGACTGAAGACATTGAAGTCAATTTTTTTGAGAGAAACCACTTCGACATTTTGTCAGCAAATTATATAAATATAATCAGATGTTTCACATTTGCTTTCCGAACAGCCCTGCTAATTCGGATGACATTTCTAGTTAACTTGAAGACAGAGTGCTAATCTATGAGATAATGATAAGCAGAATTGCAGGTGTGCGTTAATTGCTTCTTGAACCTTCTTTAAAATTATTTCTTTTTCACAGATTTGCAAGTTTTAAAAATGATGTTTTAGTATCACGTAGTATTAGTTGGCTATAGTAAATGTGGTATAGAGAAGACGTTCTTTGCAGGTGGCTTCAACTTTATTGCTAAGGTTGGAACTTTTTCACGTTTATTCTAATTCAATTTTTGTAGAACAAATCTGTTCCATTTCGTGTTGTTTTGCAACCTTACTGTATTTGTTCTAAGTTTAAAAATGGTGGAAATATACGTATGGAAGCTTCGGACGATTCCAGAAAACGCTATTACATATTACTTGTCATGCACAGCTTATATGTAATTGAGACTAACCTAGCTAGTAATCGATTACAAGAAAAATGCAAGGCAAAGCGCTCTATCAAATTACTACAAAAATAGTTTTTTAGTTTTTATTAATGAGCTGTACAGGACTTTTTTCTCAAGTGTTCCTACATTTATGCGAAATTTAAGGTTTATTTCTGGGGTATTGGTAATGTGAACGAGCAGTTTGAAATCCAATGTGCGGTACCATTCGTGGAATCTCACGTTAAGGTGATTTGTACTTATTTGGTTACATATTTAAAGGCACTTTGGTTTTTAGTTCCTTACTAAGGGAATTTGTCACACCCTTTACGTTCTTGCTTTCATTATACTAAATTTCCCTCTCTTCATTACTGCATATGTTGTTTTTTAGTACAAGCAGTTCTTTGCAAGAGTATTTGCTTCGATTTTTTTTAAACTTTCAATTTTTTTCATATTGGCATCTTTTATTTCTAAAAATGTTATGCCAAGCAACAAAGAATTGGGAAGAAAAAATTCAAGTAAAATGTGCCATAAGAGAAGAAAGGACTGAAATCTAGCTTTAATTTTACATCTGCTAGGCAGGATAACTAGTTAATTAGAGCCCAAATTGGTTAACTATGTTGCTTATTTTAAAAAATTTCTTTTTTAGCACAAATCTTCTGGTCTTATAACTCGCAAGAATCATCATATATTTCATCTCTTGATTTTGTACAATCATATTAATTAATTAGTCAATTTTTTTTAATTTTTCGATTCATCATTTGAAAAGATCTTTTACTAAATCTTTTTTTCGTTTTTTTTTTTTCATTTTTGTTTTTTCCAACTCTTCTGAACTTTTCACTACTTCTCTTCTTTATTCTTTAAAAAATAAAATACGAGGTAAGAGGTAATGGGCATTTATGTGACATCACGATTTGTGGATTGCAGGCAAAAATGGTAACATCTCGCAAACCGATCCGGATATCATCTATAGATTTTGTTAACACTCATCATTTTTCATCACCTTTAATGCAGGCAAAACCGGTGTCCGTACGATTAGGCAGTAATTTGCATGTTGCTATTGAACCGACCCTCGAAGGGATGCAAGAAAGTAGGAAGTTTTCTATGATTTGATTTCCACAGTCTATATAAGAATGACTTAAAGTAAAGATTTCTTATCACTCTGTTTCGTAATGTTATATAAATGAATAGTATTCAGACAGTTTACTCTGAAAAGTCAACTCATTGCGAATATTAAGTCATTTAGGTCCAAAAATTAGCTATTTGGAAAAAAAATAAATGGATGCGTTTGCGAACTTAGAATCATGACAGAACAGATCATTACAGTCGCAATAAATCAACTTTGTAATAGTGTTGTAATTATCGCATCACAAAAATTTTGTAATTTTTTGACAAAATTTATTCAATAATAAAAATAATTTTCCAGGATTACACACATATCCGTTACGTTGTTGGATTACCGTTCCAACAGTTACTGATACTACTATCTCTGCTGTTTCTAGCAAACAATTAGCGAATTCTGTAGAATTAGCGCATAGGTTGGTATTAACTATAAGCTCATACTTTCATTTTTTAAAAAATTTATGGGGTCAAATTATATGCTGATTTTCGTAAAATTTGTTACAGATATTTTATTAAAGATGGATGTCCATCTGTTGATGGCAGTTCAGTGTTAGCATTTTTAGAACAAGTAAGTTACTGCTGTTTTTATTAATTTTTGTTTCTATCTTCTTTTCCGGGAATTCATGGCATCTTTTCAATGATTTAATCTTGATCCTATTGTCACTCGTTTTTTAATTTTTAAAAAATTCACTTATCTGTGGTTTCAGAAAACGGGTACTGATCGATATGCGGAATGGACTAAAATAAAGATTCCGATTACTCATAATTTAATTAACCCTTCGTTATTGAATGGGTTAATTTTTTATAACATTTTCTTTCTACTTCAATAGAATGGTATTAATTTTTTTGCCTCTTTTACCAAAAAATTCGCTTGTTCTGAAGGTGCTATTGTAATTTCAATCCCTTTGCTCGAAAATATAAGTCGTTTATTTCAGGTCAGTAATATTTGACGAATCAGTTGAATACGGGCGCATTTCGCTTCATTGCGATGTGATTTTTTGTACGGGTCAGAAGTTAAATGGTTTTCAAAATACTCCTACGGCACGTTGCTTGTTGCTTCTTTCTTCCATTTAAATTTCGTTAAAATTTGCAAATTTATTTTTAAACCTAAAATTTCACGTTATTTTAGTATCATTACTTTTTGTTTAGCCTAAAAATACTCCGACTTCAATGGAGAAATTCGTTGAAATGATTCTTGCCAAAATACTTTCAGTTGATGTCATATATTTCGTGTTACTGATTTACAGATTAAACCGTATTCAGTTAGTTGATTTAAGCGCATATTTTCAGAAAATCACGTGCATATACACATTTGCGATTATTTGTAGGATGACATTAAATCATTTAGAAGTAGATTGAATTCACTAATTTAATTCGGGTGAAAAAATTTCTTCAATTATTTTTTACCGCAAAGGAATTTTTTTCTCTAACCTTTTCTTTTACAATAAATAACTAAAAGTAACAGGTTAAAAAATTTTTTTATTTAAATTTAAATCAATCTTTTTACACCAAGGGTTTTGAATACTTAGTATTTAAACTTGTTGCATAGAAGGAACTCCTCTGTTTTTATATTTATTTAAATTCTTGCATTTTAAAGTTTTTTGCTTTAAATAATTCAAAATGAGTGTACAAACTGAGCAATTTTTTTGAGAAAATGAGATAGTTTTTTCTTCGTCTGCAAAATTTTTTAGAGTATCACCGACCGGTACGGTCTCAGTCTTAAAAGCTTCAGAATTCTTTTTTTTAAAAAAAATCTCGACTTTTAGAATTGACAGCTCCAATATTGCACTTTTTTTTAGTATCAGTCAAGGACAAATTCATTCTAACAGCGGGTCAAGGCAGTTCAGCATTTGTCTGGACATATTAGCGACACATGGACGCTTGAATACTTTTCAAGCATTCAGCCTGCTTTTATGATAATTTCTATCTAGATTCTTGCTGTCACTCATGGATGCTAAAGGCAAATGGGTGACATGTTTTCAAAGGGAAATGTGCGCTTTCAAGTTCGTGCATGAATCATTGCCCATTTTTTTCGTTTTTAAATATATTAGTATATTTTTTTCTGTTAGTTTTTCAATTTGTTTCAGAAAAGCTTCAAATTTTTTGACAGTAATGGGTAGGCCACTCTATTTTTTTTTTTCTTAAAAATTTCCAAACGGTCGGTTATTTTTTTTCTTTAATATGTTGACGAACATTCAGTTCTGATGATATGCAAAAACGGTACTGGTTATTGTCAGTTCGATCACAGATGTAGGTGGTGGTATGTCTTCTAAACTTAGTTGCTGTTTTATTAAATATAGCTTTTCCAATTTGGCATCCCTATCGGAACAAATGCTTGTCATTGTTTGCAACATTTACAAAAATTGTAGTGTTTTGCCATATTACGTGCCATCATAATATGTTTGTATTTTCAAGTTCCTAGCAGATGTACATAATTTTCATTATAATTTTTCTTGTCACTTAGATTGGTTCACACTTTTTGGACAAGTTTAAAATTGCTTAGAAAAAAGGCTGAAGGAATGTTGCCATTGTAGAAATACTATGTTTATAATGATATGAAACAATAAATTATTTATTATGATGTAATCTATTCATACAACATATTTCTTAATGATGGCATCATTTTACGTCAAACATAATTGTAATTGCAGTTGAACAATCACTAAACTCAATTAGATTAAGGATATTGTTTATATGGTTCGTGGACCTTTCTTAAGCTTCGTAAAATCAAAATTGTTATTAATTAGGGACAGAGAAAGTTCACATATTTTTATAAAAAGCTGACAATTTTATTTTCTATGAAATTCGTAAATTTTCATTAAATTGATGTTATTGTAGTGTCCTCAAGCATCTTTCTGTTCGCCGACATCCGGTGAAAGACGGCATTTGCCGTCGTGGGTCGAGCCTTACCTACAGCAAGCAATAACCGTCAGTTCAAGTTCTGCGATCCGTATTCTTCTGGCAAATGCTAGTGAACCATCACTGGATAATGATGATACATCGATTTCTGATGAATTAGTTGCTGAAAGTGACAATAATCTTATCAATGTTGCATACGGTAAGCTTCTGTTTTCATGTAAAATTTTATTCAGGAGTTTGAGAAATTCTTACATCCTTAAACTTTTTCAGATCCCACGAGAAAAAGAAAAAACTCTTGATGACTAAATCTTATGTTCCATATCATTAATATTGCAGATAGATATTACTGCAATACCTATCTTCAGATTCAAAATGTGCAAGAGTATGTGCTGTAGCAGTTGAAAAAGCATTAAGGAAGGAAGAAGAATGTCATTTAGACGGTATTCCGCTGTATGTTGTTATTATAATTGCTATTATATCATTTGCTTTTGGCGTCGCATTTGTAGCTACTTTATGGCTCATCCATAACAAAACAGGTTCGTTTCAGTTTGATTGGATATTCTTCTGATATTTAGGTAAATTTATACATTATGATCGAAATTTTTTTTGGTCCCAATTTTGCTATTTACGCAATAGTAATAAATAGTCATGCATGTTTACAAAATTGTGGAAGTCGACTAAGCGAAATGATTACCAATAGTTTAACTGTTATTTTGGAGTCGTATGACTGTCAATTTTTAATTCTATATTTATTTAAGTTTTCCTGCTAGAAGAAGTCAATTCATTATTAATAATTCGGAGATGAAATATCAAAGCTTAATTTAAAAAGCGATAGAATTCTGATAATTCATGCCTTTAAATATACCCAAATATACATCAATTTTCATGAACAATTATATTACTCAAATCTATGATTTTATAGGATCCATTACAATTCCTATTTGTTCTAAAGTCCAGTTTTCCGAAAGTACTGTAACTTACTCATAGACCTAATTTATGTAAATGTTTCATGAATTCAATTTGAAGTTTAAAATTACTTTCATGAAAACTTGAGGGTGATTTTATAGATCCATTACGAAAAATTCGGTGCATAGATCGAAATAGACGTGGTATGCCGTTAAATGCAATCTATCGGGATTCAGTTATCCGACCATTGAATAATGCCAACGCATTTATGACCACGTGTAGTGCGACAGTAGCGGAACGAGAACGACTGGTCTGTGATCGACCTCAATAACTGCCACGTTATAAAATGCTAATAAAAGAATAGTACTTATCAATAATTACGTCATTTGGACAAACTTCAATAAAATTTCTTATAAAATTGGCAAATTTAGGAAAATGAAATACGTTTTATATTTCTCTAACTAAAGTGATAAAAGTAGAAAAAAAGAACTCAAAAAGCAAACAACTACTTGCTTCTTTTCACATGATTACTCAGGAAATAAGTTTCATTTATTTGTTCTTAAAAAAGAACTTTCGTTCTCTTGTTTTTGAATGTATTTTTATTTGAGTTTGGTTTCTTATTTCTTAGTTACGGTTTTTATATGGTCGAAGATTTGTTATGGATAGTAAGATTGAGTTTCTTTCTTTTTTCCTTGAATAGTGCGTATTGATTGATTCGTTGAATGCTGAAACACTTCTTTTTTATCACTAGTCCTTTTTTACCTGTTTACTTAGGAATTGTATTCATAAGCTTTTTTCCCACCTATTTAGGGGAGATAGAGTAAAACTCTGAAACTTGCTGTATTTGATATTTTTGATCAAATTCGGTGCTCTAGTTAGTTTGGCTTTTAGTTTACGATTATGTATCATAATAAAATTGTTCTGTTTGAATTCTATAATAATAATAATTAATAATAATGATGAAGTAATAACAACAAGAACAAAAGTAATATGACGTAGACGGAAAACAGCCTGCCTGATGTGGGATGAATGGCATGATATTAATGTTTTCAGTTGGAAGGATATGATCCTATTACTAAAATTGGGTATGTTTTCCCATCGTTTTCACAATTAGGAGTTAATGTAACTTTTCGGAATCAGACTACTATTTAGCTAAATATCCTAATCCGTGTTATGATATAACTGGTCTTTAAAGTAAATTTCTCGAAACATTCGTCCTTTCAATCCTCTTCTGTTTAAATTTTATCTTCTTTTCATCTAGACTGTTTACCATCTTTCTCAAGGCTAGAAGTAAGATAGGATCACTTTTGCTTCTCTTAACGGATAGCTCGACTTTACAGCGCTTCACATCAATCATTAATAAATGAGATACTTAAATCATTGACAATTTATGTGATACTGTTGTCGATTACAAGAGAATTAATAGTAAAACAAAATAAATAGTGCATAATTAGAGATACACCATCCTACATACACGTCTTTCTTTCAGCATTTTACTTTTTATTTTGTTGTTTTATAAAATTCGAAGAAAGTTGTATGAATAATGTACAGTACTGATGTTAGACCTTGCCATATTTTTTCCTACAATATAATTATTTTTTTATCACTTCTTTTGAAACTATTCGTGTGAAATTTCATCTTTCATAATCAAAACTTTATAAAATCTGATTGAACAAACTAATAGTCTGATACATTTGTTGAGCTTTTGTCTCCTATCTTTCTATTTCTTGCACTTTTAAGTTAAATCAACATATTGCTTGTTGGTTTACCGTCATTTTATTTACATGTAGGGATTTATCGAATTCCAGTTTTCGTCTGTTTCAATTATTTTTTTACATATTGCACAGCTCCTCGTTTTAAAACATCTTTTCCTTGTCTCTTTCTTTGCATTTACCACCAATTGATGTTGATCAGTTACTCTCCGGCATTTTATTTATGTGGAGAACTTCTATTGTTATTAGATAGACTTTCATTTTGTGTGGGGCTTGCACACTGATAGGTCCTTAAAAGCATTTTTTGTTAGTACCCTTCGAAAAAAAAATTTTTAAATATTCATAATGTTATTAAGCAGTTTTATCCTGGAATTTTGGTTATGTTTTGGTCGAAACTAGTTTGAAAATTTTATAACAAAAAAAATTAATTATATCAATAATTGCTTATTTTTATTTGACAGAAATGTGATAATCGTTATCATCACTGCGATCGCGCAAAAAAGCATAAAGGAAAAAATCACCTGAAATGTGGACATTCCCAGATATCTGAATTATTGTGCTTGCCTTTGCTGCTATATTATTCTCTTGTATGCTTAATTTTTCATCCTTTACTCGTTCATGTTAAGGAAATCTTGATTACCCGTTCAACGGGTTTTTAATTGTTTTGAGTCAGTGTTTGTTGTATGCTTGATTATATATATATTTGTTTAAAGATTCCTCTGAAACACATTATTAAGTGGTAATTTAGAAATGCATCATCCCATTATTGTGTTATACTAATAACTGTTTTTTTGATAAATATCCACATTTCCAAGTGCTTTCTAATTTCTTTTTTATTCTTTGTTCCTCAACTTTTTTAGAAAATTTTCGCTTACATCTGGGAATTATCTGTCTGTTCCATAACGGCGTTCTTCCCGCCTACTTTATTTACTTCGAGTCCTTCTTCCTGACAACTTCATCCTTGCTTTCTTTTTCTCACATCTGCACCAAAAAATGCAGGGGATAAGTTTTGTTGGATTTTCTCACTCGTTCACAGTCACCAACTAACGAACTCTGAATAATCAATCCATCGCTGTTGAAAGATTTCTGTTTAGAGTACATGCTCACCTCATAAATTTACAGGGAAGATAGTGCCAGGCACTGTATCAGTTTTCTGGATAATCGCAGTTCAGATATAAGCGAAAATATTTTTTTTCCTTATGAATTTGTGTTAGGCACCGGAGATGCCTCTAAATTTTTTCTTTCTTCTTTGAATTGCATACCAATAAATTTGCTGCATTCGAAAGAAAAAGATTTGCAAGAAATTTACTGGTTTTCGGAAATCCTCTCTCCATTTCTCAGTTACCAAGATATCTTCTGAGAATAATTCTATGCCTACACGTCAAACACACCCTTATGAAGGAATCTTAAATGGAGGAGGCTGAACGATTGCTCCGTTTAATTCATACAAGGTCAGCTGGCAGGGTTTTCTTATGGATATAG